GAATAATTGATAATATAAATTGGAATAAGTGATTGCAGCTGTTACAAAGAATAGATATACTCAAGTTTACAGTTATGAGGTCGAGGTTTATCATTAAACACTATTTATAGACGTATTCATCGCCACCAAAGTCAAAACATGAAAATGAGAACATATTATAAAAATCCAAACACCACGTCTGAATTATTCAGAAAATTTCTTAAAGATTGTTACGTGTTTCTTTAGAATTGATATGACATAACAATCTGATGCTATTGTCATTCAGGTAATGCTGTTTATAATTGATATCGCGAACACTTAAAGTTAAATTCCCAGCTAGTTGTCCTTGTACGATATGATTGTTAAATGACGTCTAAAACATTGTACAAAGGACATACAAAGAAATTCTACCCTTTAACAGGAAATTTAATGTGACATAGTAGGATGAAATAATTAATTTTTTATGATATATACAATGCTATAGATTTGTTATCATTTTGACCGATTTTGATTTTTCTTCAGTCGTTTCATAAATAAATAGTCCTAGATGGCCGACACATCTGTACGATACAGTTTAATTCATTATTTTGCTCTAGGTTTACATTGAAAAGGTGCTTTTGATTTGTGTGTCTTTTTCGCAATCTTGAGAGTCATTCATGTCATCCGTCGGTGTCACAATACTTCATTACATATGTACAAAATTATGAAATGAGAATTTAAACTGATAAAATCACACTATTTGTCTATCATTAGAAAACAAGCGCCAAACATGTACGGTATTTTTCTATGTTCCAAAAGCCTTTGATAGAGTTTGGCATGATGGCATCATGAAAATTTCAAGCAGATGGTTTTAAAGGCACTAATTAGAATTGATTGAAAGATTATTCCAGTAATAGAAACCAAATAGTAAATTTTCGTACACATGACTTGTAAATACTGGTATACCACAAGATTCTATTTTAGGACCACTTCTATTTTTGTTACAGATCAATGATATTTGTGAAAATCTCTTTTCACTTTCAAGAACGTTTGCTGACAACCACCTCGGTTGCATATTCTTCAAATAATAGTGCAGAAATCGAATATTATATGAACTATGATTTAGCAGCGATTGATCACGGGTCGAAGGCATGAAATGTAAGTTTTAATCCTAAAAAGACGGACCTACTTGTTTTACTGGTTCGTTAGAAAGACTTGATGTTAAGTTGACTTTTTATAACACGATGTTGACAGAGAATGCCACATACTAACATCTTGGCGGTTACTTTAAGTGAAAATGGTAAGTTAGAAACACATATCGTGAATATTGTCAAATCAGATTTTTAACATTTGTCTGTTTTACGAACATTGGAATTTACAGTTAATAAGGTAATTTTATGTAAACCATGTATTGTATTCATCAGACCTATTTTGGAATATGCAAGTGAAGTGTGGGAAGGCTGCACATTGCACATTCTGAAATGGTCAAGATTATGTATTACCAAAGTGTCGACAAGTTTTGTATGAAGTGTCTTTTATCCCAAATACTCTGAGAATGTAGAATTAGTTAGATATGTCAATTAGAACTTTAGAAACAATGTCAAAATTTAAAAATCGTATTTCAAGACAAAACAAACCTGTGAATAAACTCTCTGTAGGTGATAGAAAACTAGATGTGATTCATACTAGACTCCGTCATAGTTGTAGCGCTTTGTATGCAGATATTTTCAAACATAATTTAGTCGTATCACCAGCATGTAACTTTTCTGAATAGGAAGAAAACACTTTGTCTAGATATGACACAGTTGTTGATCTACTTCTACTGTTGAACGGATCTACTGATGTGAACAAGGCTGATAATGATAATTATATACAATTATTTGTGCATAAATATTTATAAAAAAAAAAAATACGAATAGATTTGCATAAATTTGCTTTAGTACCAAAAACTACTTATGGTTTAATAAAATGTAAAAATTTACGTACAGAAACTGATTCCAAAACTTAATTATAAATGTATCTATTTATATTCATATACATGGAAACATACTATATATATTTATGTCATATCAAATAAATTCTCTGAATTTTTTATATAGAGAAGATGCATACCTCCATCTGTATATAATATTTTTTGTTTTGTTTTCTTTCTTTTTATATATACTTATATATTAACAAAAAAATTACTTTTATCGTGAAATAGTGCTATTATATGATTGTTACCATGGTATAATTGTCTACGGACGAGTTGTATAACTCGTGTCCAATTCCAGGTAATTTTCTCAGATGAAATATTTTTAAACTAAACTGGTGAAAAAAGACAGGAACGTTTAATTAACAGCTAAATGATGCCTAGAGCAGTTGTTTGTGTTATACTGACATATAATTATCGGTAGGCGATTAAAGTGTTGAATATACTGTTCCGTTCCTGTCTTTTCACACTTGTAAGATTACATAACCGTAACCGAGGATCGTAATTAAAATTAGCGATACAAATCAGCACTTGCTGTGTACGTGTTATTGAGTGTTCATTGCAGGTGTAACAAAGTAAGAAGATAGAATATTATGGCTGTCCCACATATTCATTATGATTATCATCAGAATGTAATAGATACACGCCTACAGACACTAATCTTCTTCACAAAATGGGATTATCACGTTTTGTAATCATTCTTTGAAGCGATGATGCACCGGGCTAAAAGAAAAGAATGTTACCTTCATTCAAATACACAATCATTGGCAGTTCCTGCACTCCCAGTCGGTAATCAAAACTAGACAAAATGACAATTATGAAATTGTAAATTTATGTAGGCTATTAATGAACTCACGATTTGCAGTTAATATGAACAACAGATATGGATGTCATTGGCAATGTAATATATATTAATGGTAACTAATTCATTCGAATTATCAAGTAACGAAATAATTTTTGCTCTTTAGTACGATCGTTAATGACACCAAACATATCACCATTAATAACAAGTCACGGACGAATTAAGGGTAATAAGGACAATCAATAAATCAAATCTATAAATAAACTGTATAAACTTGGGTTTTACCCGGTAATACTGTACAAATCTATAAATAAACTGTATAAACTTGGGTTTTACCAGGTAATACTGTACAAATTTGTAAATTAACTGTATAATCTTGGGTTTTACCCGGTAATACTGTACAAATCTATAAATAAACTGTATAAACTTGGGTTTTACCAGGTAATACTGTACAAATCTATAAATAAACTGTATAAACTTGGGTTTTACCATGTAATACTCTACAAATCTATAAATAAACTGTATAAACTTGGGTTTTACCAGGTAATACTATATAAATCTATAAATAAACTGTATAAACTTGGGTTTTACCAGGTAATACTGTACAAATCTATAAATAAACTGTATAAACTTGGGTTTTACCAGGTAATACTGTACAAATCTATAAATAAACTGTATAAACTTGGGTTTTACCCGGTAATACTGTACAAATCTATAAATAAACTGTATAAACTAGGGTTTTACTAGATTATACTGTACAAATCTATAAATAAACTGTATAAACTTGGGTTTTACCAGGTAATACTATATAAATCTATAAATAAACTGTATAAATTAAGGTTTTATCAAATAATATTGTACTAGTCAATAAATAAACTTCGTAAACTTAGGATTTAACAAGGAATATTACAGTAAGTACATTACGGATGAACGTTGAAGTCTGCGATGGATGGTATAGAATATACTGGAGCGGTGCCGAGATACTAATATCTCCTGTCATAAAATGATCTTTGAAAATAATATAGAATACATAAAGTAAATCATGCCTGATTACAGGATGGTGAATATCACAAATAGATCGTGTACTATAAGTCTCCTTAAATAAAACAAGACAGTGAACAATTTTCCTGAAATCGTGACAATTCTAGAATAAATGCTTTAATAGATTAATGTACATCATTCTATCAAGAACTCGTGAAAGACAATTTATGACAGGTGCATAGTTAAATTGAAATTTAACGAGAAAAGCGGTGCCTTAAATACAAGTACAGGTAGTAAATCATCTTCAATACAATTTAACATCGTCACGTGAAAAATAATTTCAATACTATATATAAACTTTGACATAAATAGACTTTGTGTATTACATAGAATCAGTATAAAACAACATCTTATTCCAACAGACGATGTTTTAGGTTTATTTCAAAGGTAACATTCAGTTCCAGTAATTGATAAGATAAGTGAATGTCAGGTCCTGATAGGGAGAGGAGGGGGTTCACTAAGTAAACAGATTAATATCTAGTAGGTCTATATATAAACAGTCGGTAACTTCTACTGTATAATAAGGCACCTGTTGTATTCATTAACCCTACAAATTCTGAATATTGACAGAAATCACGAATATGGCAGTCTGACAAACCATCTTGTTACGTAATTACAAACACCTTATTTCTTTAATATACCTTAACTAATGTTTTCCTAACAAAGTAAGGTGATATGTAACATGTTTGTTCTCATTTTGTTCAAATCCATACAAATATAAGACGTATCTTTTCAGATTGACAAAAAGAACTCTGACAAATAGTATCGTGATGCCAGTAAAAACACTATTTGTGGTCTCGATATTATCAGGATAAGACTAAGAGTTTAAGACTAAGGATATAAGAATGAGAATGCAAGACTAAGAGCTATAGGCTTTGGTTATATGCCTAAGAGTATCCGTTTAAGAGAGAAAGAGAGTGTAAGACTTAATATATAAGAAAGAGAGGGTAAGCTTTAGAGTACAAGACAGAAAGCGTAAAACTTAAAGTATAAGACAGAGAGTGTAAGGCTTAAAGTATAAGACAGAGAGTGTAAGGCTTAAAGTATAAGACAGAGAGTGTAAGGCTTAAAGTATAAGACAGATAGTGTAAGGCTTAAAGTATAAGACAGAGAGTATAAGATTTGAATTAAGAGATGTTTCATTTCCTCCTTGTGTAATACAAAATCAGACGGATTTCATCCTCTTCATACTTGATGACCTTATTCTCATCGTTCTCGTTCCATAGTTTAATAGTCAATAGTCTTAATCTTCCTTTTGTTCATATCCTGTTCTCGTTTTTGAGTCGAATTTGTTGGCTTATTGACATTAATGTTGACTGAGGTTAAACTGTCATTGACCTCGATGTCATCAGATTTGTAATTGGCATTGATATCGAATGCATCAGATTTGTAATTGGCAGTGATCTCGATGTCATCAGATTTGTAATTGGCAGTGATCTTGAAGGCATCAGATTTGTAATTGACAGTGATCTCGATGTCATCAGATTTGTAATTGGCAGTGATCTTGAAGGCATCAGATTTGTAATTGACAGTGATCTCGATGTCATCAGATTTGTAATTGGCATTGATCTCGATGTCATCAGATTTATAATTGGCAGTGATCTCGATGTCATCAGATTTATAATTGGCAGTGATCTCGATGTCATCAGATTTGTAATTGGCAGTGATCTTGAAGGCATCAGATTTGTAATTGGCAGTGATCTTGACTTCGGATTGCCTGAGCTAAACCTATCAGTGACTTTCATGACAGTGTCGGATAACAATGATTTCAACGACACCGAATTAAGAATGTCATATAGACATTGATAATGTCTTACTGATCTTAGAGAAACATGTTGTAACTACTAACATAACCCCGGTATTGTTAATCTCAACGTTTCTACAACTTTCTTCCCATGCACCTTGAGGACAACACTTGCTATTAGCAGTTCCTAGAGCGTACTACGGTATTCTTTTTTAATGTATTACCTACAAAATAACTAGTTGTGAGTAACGAAAATGTGTTTAGTAGCACATATCGGCTTCTTTACAGCCATTAAATGATTTTGGATATCAGTTGGGTTTTCTACCAAAAAATATCATGCCCATCCCGCTTATAACCTCAGGATTATCAATGTTGTCAGTTTTATTGGAAAGAGCGTGCAGCAGGTATACTTAAAACCATTAAACTAAAGCAATTTTCCAACTTATCCAGTTTAACTGTTGCCAACGGAAAGACATGTTTGACCTTCAAACATACATGTTCTACTGCTGCTTATCAATGTACAAAGGGAGAATCTGTATCTTAAATGGCAGGTTTTAAGTAATCAGTGTTGGACTTGGAATCAGTCCACTATATTTAGACGCGGGTTAGATTCTTCTCAATCTGAAAGGAAAAATACAACTACTGAAGAAAGATGGTAAGCTTGATAGAAGACGTTCGGGACAGTGGGTTTACATTTATGTACCAAAATAAATAAACAACTTGACATGAAAATGAGTGCGTCCAACCCTCGGCGCTGAAGCCATTATCCAGTACTAGAATCATACGCGCACTGAGGAAATGATGTCTCCTCGAGATTCAAAGCTTAGTAATTCCCTCGAAATGCACAGATTTCGGGACACTCCGGGAACGTAATAGATCCAAGACTGGTTAACAGCGGTGGGAATCGTTCACATCATGACCAGACTAAGTGGAAAAAAATTTTTCTATAATAAATGTCAGAAAAATGCAAACACTTATAAGAAAACACGCTGTAAATTCTGAATAATCATTTAGCTGCTCACATTTTTATCACCAGAACGATAAACAAGCTGATGAAGTTATATAATCATAATTGAGAACGAATTCCGTCTAACAAGTTTACATTCCTGTCAGAGAAAACGATATCACTCCAATGGCGTCACTAGTATTGCAGTAACTACTTCAATCCTGACAAGTAAGATCCACCATCTTGATTTATTTTCACAAGGTGTTCCTATCATTTATTATCCATACAATACATAGTGCAGACGGCTTCTGTTCGCAAGAAATTTTCACTACAGAACTTTAAAATCTATCAGCATTGTTTAAAGACAAGACACGAATATGAATGCCAAACGCCAAAACTGACATGGCAACCGTAAATTGGTTATGGTTAAAACGTTACTAGACACCATTTTGTTGAAAATGAGCTAATGGACCACCACCGTAGTTTGTTACTAAAGGTCATACAATGAGACATCAGCATAACGTTGCAATTGTCACCTTTGCCCATTTTATCAGGACTTGAAAAGCAATCTTTTCCTTCCTGTTTCAATTTCGATTTTAAAAATACGTTTTGATATTAAGTATATGTTGTATAACACAGAGGATCTTTCATGAATGTTTATTGGTAAGAGATCAACGATGAAACGAGTATGTTTCATTCAGGCGAGGTAAAAGAACGAAGAACTCGTGAGTTTCATTCATCTTACATGAGATGGATGCAAATGTAAAATTCTGTTCATCACATTACATGATGTTTTTATAAGCCTTCGTGAAAACAACATTTTAATAGGCCGGCACAAAAGCTTAATTGACGATTCGACAGAATGTATATGACGCTATGAAGTTATGACGTCACAATGGAAACCATGGCCACTCTCAGCCAATCATATTACCTCTATGTCATACTACACGTGTAATAGAAAGTAACTCAGTGCTAGTATACCGACAGCAGGGTAGTAATGTGATTAAGTGTTTTATCAACAATTATCATAGGCACAATAGAGTTATAATGTTAAATGAGCAGAGAGCAAACACATTTTAGAGTATGGTAACTGTAATTGGTGTATTACGTTATGGTATCCTTGACATTTTATTAACTTTAGATGCTATCTACTGTTAATGACACTGTAGTGGGTAATGTGTTTAAGATTAGTTAAGTACTTTCTATGTGTCATTACATAGCGTAACGTTTTTTTATCTTATTTTTTGTTTTTATTTTTCTGTTTGTTGTTTCTCCGAGGTCTAAACTAATGACGTAAAACTTTATGTAGCAATTACTGTGTACAAAATTTACTACCCAGAGGTATTAATTATAATGTTGTTTACTTTGTGAAACAAATATCGTGTAATGAGACTTGAATGAGTTTGAAAGAGAATGGAAGAAATATGAATGACTATGAACTTTAATAATTTAGAGCAAACTCATTTTTATAAACTCTTTTCTTTATCTCTTTTCAGGATATGGTTTCATACTAATTCGTGTAGAAAATATTTTCTCCATACACACGTACGTTTGATTCACAAAAATCGTGTTTCCCTCCAACACACGGTATTACATGTTGATAGAGTCAATGAATTGAATACAACCCAACCGTGTGCTGTGGCTGTCCTCGTATGTTTCCACTGTGTTGTTTTCTTTTTAGAATGGGTGTTTCTATACACGGGTGTGCAGAAGATATTGATTTACACATCTGTTGTTGTTCATTAATACTTGCTACACAAGCATCGTACCGTGTCGGTATATACCCACCCTTCACCTACACAGTTTACATACATGTACAACTTTCTCTACGTAATTAAATTCGGCTGTATAGAATCATCAATGTTAACCTGGTGTCCCGTACAAGTAAGGTATCTTAATGATTTTTTTCTATCGGTCCTGAACCTTTCTCATACACAATCCAAAACACAGATTAGGTAAAACTAATAAAAATAAGTCCAACTCATTTGAACATGAAGAAAAACTTAACTTTCACAATCCATTAGCGTGATTAAAATATTTTTACCATACGTTTCTGATGGTGAATGTTTTCTTCCTACTTCTGACTACATATCGTTGATATTCATGACTAATTAATTCAAGTGCACAGCATTACAATGAGGATTAAGTACACACAGATAAACTATGCCCAGTATTTGATGTCTGACGGTGTGACTGTAGTAAAATGATAGTGATCCTATCTACAGGTAAAAACCGAATAGTAGTCGTAATAGCTTCATCGTAACAAACTGCATACTCACCATTTTCATGTCTGAAATCAGCCAGAAGAACCCTACACATGTCACCGGTGTATACATCCATCACAATGTTCTAAACATGTTAATTACTGTCAGGGTTCTCCAATTTAAATGTACACTTAGATATCAGGCGTTCTATCACCTCAACACACATACAAAGCAATGCACTTGTCACACATTGTCACACTAACATCGAACACATTAAAGCAGTCATGCTGATATATGGTGCATCCAGCCTGTGAGTCTGAAGGACAGAAGGCTTGCATGTCATCTGTCGCTAGCGTGTGTATTTATATGGGTTCCAGTAAACTCATGGTAACCGGAAGTGGACATTTAATATCTTTGCCACGTGAAATTTAAAAAAAGGACTCCAAAATCTAAGATAACCATCGCATGTTATGTACAGTGTTTTAACATACACAAATTTGTATTTACTTTGAGTTGTGGCTTTACATTGGAAGATTGACATGAAATGTACTTGTACACTTTGTTACACCATTGTATCCAAAAGGCGGCTAGTGCAAGTTAAAGTACATTTTAACAGTGAATCACAATCTGTTTTATATGATATTCCCTAAGTAATGTAGTGTGCTGGGAAGTTCCTTTTGTACTTACTAAGCACGTTAGAATGTGCCCTCCTTATTGTATTTACAAGCCATGCCTTCTACTTGAGAACACTTGTGACACTCTCAGTACACATACAGCATTCTCTATAAAATGCCTCTTCAGCCATGAAAACGAAACCTATATAGGTAATATTGAAATGATGTATTACTGTGAAAAACTATGCAGATAAGTGATTGTAAGCATACATCCCTAACACCGAAACAGAATTCTTCATCTAAATACCATAACTATGTCAACGAAACCCAGAGACTTGTCAGTGACTGTCTCTTTAAAACAACTAGGCCACATTAGATCGTACGTTTTTTAATTTGGATGAAACAAACCTTTAAAGCCTACAGGGACTACAGTATCATCAACATTAGCCATAGCAACATGGCGAATCTGTTTACCAGCTGAATGCTTGTTGCTGTCGATCTGACACAAGTAATTTGCCCCATGTCGAGACCAGTTTACGGGCAGTGATTAAATGCAATAGAAATCTCATACAGGAAGTAGAGCAGGAGCCAGCACCTTTATACTTTTACAAGCCTGTAATCCTGACAGGTATTACCCACTGCATTCCCGTAATCAGCATACACTACACTTGTACGTGATGTCATGCGTTGCTAAGAGTTCGGGGAGACAAGAAAAAGGGGAATCTGTTCTTATTTAACGGGTTGGCATCCTTTCGGTTACATAATAATCGCGTAGAAAAAAAGGGGATATCTATTTCAGCGTTATGTACGTGAAGTTTACTTGATTTTAACAGGGACAACATTAAAATCTACAAGTTTCAGGGAAAACCCTTTTACGTACACAGTAAAAAAAACGAGCAAAGATAAATACTTTAAAAGATATATTATTCCTAACTGTTAACGACAGTAAAATTTTACCTTATCAGAATCAAGGCAGCAAAAAGCATGTGTAGCTAGAACAAGATCAAGCGTTGTGTGTCTTCTATTTCACTAGTAAAATCCAGTTTATTCTGCAGCATACTTCATGTTTACAGACCCTACAAGTGCTTTTCATGAAATTCTTTCATATCTTAAAACCTAACTTTGTATTACTGTTTGCCTCTCTTGGAAAACAACGCTTCTCAATTCTGTTCGCTAAACTTGGACCGTGCTCAGTCACCTACTAGAAAACCAAAATGTTGGCACTAAGCATTTCTGATTAGTCCTAGAAGTCGCCCCTAGGTTTCTAAAATACAGGTTATAAACATCAGTGGCAAGGACGAAACAGCCGTGTGATGCTGTGTAATTAATTGTTTGGCTCTACTGTATCTAGTTCTAAAATTATTAGGTGACATCCACCTGTGTTATACATTCTGATAGAAGGTTAATGTTTTCAGAAATGAACATTCTTAATTTCCACCAATGGAGTGTGAGTTAAGATAATGATGATGACGAATTTCTGTTCTGGGTGAACATCAAAAGAGTGAACAAGAAAATGTTACACAAGACACGTGTGAAGTTAATGAACAGGGCAGGTTCGTTTAGTAGCTAGACCGGTTAGATGAAAAGCTGCAACACCGAAACATTATTACCAAATATTATTTCGTCTTTGCGAAAATGGATATGTTGTGTAACTGTAGGTTTCTTTATCTATAAGGAATGCTTTGTTTCATTTCTCAAGCAGAAAATATCAGGATTCAAATCAGAATCAAAATATTATTTACTGTTATAAATCGGTGGTTGTAATTTTGATACTGATAATGCTAGCATGTAATTTATTTACTTTTAGAACTTGAATTGTTCGGTCTTTCTGGATGTAGATTGAAAACAATAAAAAAAAATGCGGACATGTGAACAAAATCTAAACAAATCGACGAAACTATAGGAAAATGTTAATCAAAGATTTGAAGTAATTAAAATGGCACGTTTCCAAAGGGGGAACAAGGCTAACAACGACGAAAACGTCGGGTATGATAATAAACATCAAACACGTCCATCTTCATATCGCTCAAGAAAACTGCAATTTCCTAATGAGGTCGATGTGACCAACATAGAAATAATCCATAACCTCGGTCATTCTGCATGTTTTGAAACGCGATGGTGTGGGTTTATTTGTCACCAATCGTCACCAAACGAGGATATCGTGATATTAACAACAAGTCCTTGATTTCGAGTAAAAAATGTGATAGGTTATAGGAAGTACGGAGGTTTTGTTTTTAAACTTACAATAGTGAAATAAAATAATCATTTCTCCTCTTGGAAAGCTGACCCTGTAAGTTTCGTTGAAGGAAAAGATCGAGGTAAGATTTCACAGTCGGAAAATTTATTTGTTACTGGCTTTAGACGTCCTTTATACAAAATACGCTCTAGTATACTTCACAACAATAAAGTGGTATAACCGTTCACAACTTCGTTGAGTTTGAAAATCAAATGTTCATACAAAGGAAACATTTTTCAGTAGAGGGTGTTCAAGATTGGTCAGACTTTCTTTGGAGTTATTTAAATGCACATACCATTACGTCTTTCTCAAAAGAGAATGACTTATCCCATGTTCTTAATTTGCTAGCCTTTGGCCGTCTTGATTTGATAACTTTCAGCCGATGTCTTATAGAGAATTCACCTTATTGACCTTCACGAAACTGAACATTATGGAAGCTTATTATGTCATCATTTACTACTTCTTGTTCAGCTGGACCATGCCTTTATGGAGTAGATCAAGGACATATTTCTTCAGTTGAACATTATCAAAGAATGGCATCGGTGGGTTCAACATTACAAATGATGTTTTGCAAATCCACGGACATGGGAACAAGAAAGTTTAAATTCATCATAAAATAACCCTCTTTCAGTCTTCTGACACCAATTCAGATTTTTTTCCCCTTCTTTTTAGTCAAATGAAACGCATTTCTGGCATTTCTGCGGTAGCTTCCGTTGCGGTCATTGAAGGTCTCATGTATTTCCTGTACACGTGACTGCACACTCACACCAACAGTACCAGCTGTGTCATAGCTAGATGTTTAAGTAAAACAAAACCTCAATAACTTGGACATATTGTCTTTGAGTACGGTACAACTTCCTTCACACAGTGCAGTTGTAGCAATATTTACATGCATGCCATGCCATGCACATCGGTGCCCTATTAAACATTTAAACATGTACGTGTGTCTGATGTTGAATATCTTCAATCTGTACACTGTAGGCAATAATATCTAGGTATCATTAAGGTTCTGAGTGTTGGATCTTGTTTGATAGTTACAGAAAATAACATAAATTTTTTCTCCGCAATAAAAACGTCTTTCGTTATATAGTGATTGGTTTATTGGTCACATTGAAGATCTTTAACATACATTCTACGTCAGAAATGACGTTTTCCAGCTTAACGGTCGGTAACAATTCGCTTGTGTGCGTATCGTATCCAATTTCAGTTTGACTTGTGGTTTTTATTCTGATTAAGGCACTCTGCCAATTCACATTTAACTAACCAAATCAAGGACGAAGAAAGGTTGGGAGAAATCATGCTTGACCAATTAAATGGAAGAATACGCGGATGTCAATCAGTATTATTCATACATATCTGTTTTGTAGATATTTATGGTAAAATATAACATAACATTAGAATGGTATTAATCCAGTACATCTTGATTAAAATAAAACTTCGAGTCGTTAATTGAAATGTACTTTAAACATCAATTAATATAATATAAAGTACAGATGTGAGTTTAACTAGCTATTTATAGGTTCACTATTTTCAGATGTATTCGAGGATATCTGCATAGTGCAACTTTTCCTATTTCATCTCCGATTACTAAAACGTGCAATGTATCTGGTTTGGTTTGTTTAAAACCGGTATGATCTATCATATTAATAGTAAAGGAAGAAGCTTTTCAATATACTACATAGTTATTAAAGGTTTAGGTTATGATATCAATAAGTAAAATGATACTTACGATTGTAGATAGAAGAATGGGTTCACTCAGAGTTAATCCATTACGGGAATGCTTCCTGCTCCTGTAGCTTTGTGTTACCGTGTGTATTATATCTTTGGTTGGACAGCTGCAGGGCCTTTCCGGCTCTCTATCAGGTCGGCAAACACTCATGTCAATAACATACAATGGGCAGGCTGGGTCAGTTGTAATGTGATTCTGATTATTGGTGAAGTAATTAATACCTTACAGGCTAGCGGTATATACATTGATGTCCGAACCGCTTGACCACTCTATTCCCCCGAACGTTCACATTTCATTATCTAACAAACAACTATAAACGATATATACGAATAATGTGGAAATATTGCACAGAAGAAAATACCACCTTCTATCACAAATTTGAGATTAGATAGAGTAGATAATGAACTCGTACTTCTTAGTGATACTAAGGGCCTAAAGTGTTGAAATCTAGGAGGCGACTGAGGAAATCGAAAATTGGTTGCAATAAATAGAAAGGAAGAAGCATATAAAAATTAAAAATCGACATCATGCTAATTTCGAGAATGCCAAATATGTTCACATTACTCGTAATACGAGTGATACACTTGCGGTCCTATTTAACCCATCTCATTAATGTTAAGTATACCTTAAACTCCTGGAAATTATTTGAAATTCAATCAGTCATTATTGTTTATTGA